CTTGGCGCGAGGGGCGGAGTGATGGGCGGAGTGATGGGCGGGGCCTGGGTCGCTGACGAAAAGGGGGCGGGGACGGCGCGGACGTGGCTGGAGAATGGGCCTCCCTGACCCCGCGGAGAAGTGAACGAGTCGAGGACGCGTCGGCAAGTACCTCAAAGAAATGGTGGGGTCTAGAGAGTCAGGCGGAGTAAGCTGCAAGGAAACAGCCTCTCAGCCCCATTTCGTGCTCTCGGGTTTGCGGAGCTGTGTCTGGTCGCCGCCGGGCGCCCATGGGAAGTGCTGACGGTGGGTTAGAGAGACGGAGAAATATGAGCACCCTCCCCGGGGATCGGCACGCCCGCCCCCTTTCTCCAGCCCACGGAGGATCTCAGGGCCTCCCGGGGTACCCAGATGTGTTTCAGGCGGACCCAGCGAGGCATTTGAGTACCCACCGGAAAGTCCTTCGACCAGGGCTTGCGAGTGTGTAACCTTTGTACTGCAGGCCGCGGTACCCCAGAGCATAGGGTTCCTCACCTTTAGCCTTATTCTGTTAGTTCCCCCTTTCGCTCCCAGTCTCCTTCCTAGGAGTTGGTTACTGTATCACATACAAAACGGCCGAGGATTTTTTTGCCCTGAAGTTTCCCTTCTCATTAGTTCCCTGAGTTACCGAGTAAGATTAGTCAGGTTAAGTTAGTTTTTATGACTTCCCTCCCCGCCCCAAGCAGTTTTCAAAGTAATAAACTGGTTGTGCTTTTTACACAATCAGAACATTAGTTTCATATGATAAACCAGTATATCTCTCTAGGCTTAGTTTATAGTTAGTGCCATTTTAGGACTGGACAGTCCTTTAATGTGGTCTCTACCCAACTTTGCTCCAGATATTGGACAATTTCAGGGATAAAGATTCTGATTATGGGGGGAGCCCACTGCATCCAATCCACAGTCTGTGCAATTACTTTCTGCTCCAAGACAGTTGTCACCTGTCTTAGCCACCACCATAACCAGGAGCTCAAATCGCCTGGTACTTTGTGAGGCTCAATGCAAAATAGGAATGCAGGGCCTCTAGTTCAAAAAGAAGAAAAAAAGTGCCATAAAAGGTATGAAAATAGAGGGACCAGCAGTTGCCGTAATGGCTATGTTGCAGGAATCCCATGTAGTTGACCGCGGCTTGAGTCCTAGACCTGGTGGCTTAAGCTCACGCCAGGCACATGTGCGTGCCCAAGATCTGGAGAGCAGAATGGGGAAGAAGGGATTGCGGAGTGACCATCCCCCCTAGGGGGGTGATTTCTCGCTTTCTGTCTCTGTCTCTTTCTGTCTTTCTGGCGAGCACACGCAACCTATAGCAAAAGCCTCTCCAAAAAAAGAGCTATGAAAATAGAAACTCTTCCCTGGTACCGCTTTCAATTCGTCGATTTTTAAAAATTATTTCTTTTATTTATTATGAATTTTTAATTTTACCAGAGAAAGACATAGCGAGAGGGAAAGTGAGAAAGCAAGCTGCCAAGTCCAGGACTTGAACCACAGTTGGCCATGTGGGAGTCTAGTGCTTTAACCACTGTGCTACTTATGGGCCCCTTTCATGTTTTTTTTTTTAAATAATTATTTATTTTATTTTTTCATTCATTCATTTTTTTTTTTTTTAATTTGACCAGAGAGAAACAGAAGGTGAGAGTGAGAGAGGAAGTGAGAAAGCAAGCCACCAGAGTCAGTACTCAAACCCTGATCGTCCAGGTGGGAGTGTTCAGTGCCTTAACCACCACTCCACCTGCTGGTCCCTCATGGCGTTTTTTATCTTGCTGTTTAATGCCATTCCAAGTAAAGAAAAATTTTAAATGAGTAGCATGAATGTTATGAGTTTTATTTATATTGTGTAGTCTCAGTTTGAAATGCAAATGTAAGGACATTCTAACACATGTAGAATCACTGAAATTTCACAATTTATTTTATAGCTCATACAAGCTTATGTGTTTTGTTCTTACTGAAAAAGTGGAGAGGCTGCACAAAACACCTGTTTTTATTTTACCTCTTAATAAGTGCACATCCTACCAACATTCTGGGGAATCTAACAACGTTGAGCCTCCGTGAACTTGCACATAGTAGGCCCACCAGAATTCTATGTTTCTAGGCATCACAGATACTTTATGTGAGTGGAGAAAACACACTTACTGCAGCTCTTTCCCCTGGTCCACTTCATGCTTCATTGTCCTATCAGACTTCAGAAATACTGAAATTGTTAACAATTTCAGAATGGTGACAGCAGAGCATTAAACAAAGGGCCATTCTGTGCACGTGGCCCTGTGAGACCCTAGTCAATGCTTACCCATGAAGCCAGCTCTATCCCAGAGCCTTATGAGTTTGGTGCATTATAAATATTTACTAAGAAATAAGTGCTGGGGACCAGCAGGGGGCATGGTGGTTAAGGCTCTGGACACTCCCACATGGCCAATCACGGTTCAAGTCCTAGACCTGGTGGCTTGCTTTCTCACTTTCCCTCTTTCTCTGTGTGCATACCTCTCTGGTCAAATTAAAATAAATAAATGAATAAATAAAATTAAATAATTCTTTAAAAATAAATAAATAAATAATCAGGGCTGAACTAGCACCCACCATATGCTAGTTACTTGGAAGGCAAGAAAGAAAACACAGTCTACGGAGAAGAAAAAAACAAATGAGTGATCACAAGTATACTGTGGGTACTGGAGGATCACTGTGAACAATTTTACTTTTTTTTTGGAGAGGTTTTTGCTATAGGGTGCATGTGCTCACCAGCAAGACAGAGAGAGACAGAAATAGAAAGCAAGAAATCACCCCCCAGGGCAGGTGAACACACAGCAATCCCTTCTCCTCTATTCTCCTCTCAGGATTTTGGGCATACACGCACAGGCACCTGGCGTGAGTTTAAGCCACCAGGTCCAGGACTCAAACCGTGGTCAACTACTTGGGAGTTCAGTGACTAGCTATTACACCATCTGCTGGTCCCACAATTTTACTTTTTTAAGTTTTTTTTTTTTTTGACATAGGGTACGTGCACTAGCTAGAGAGAGAGAGACAAAGACAGTAAGAGCAAGAGTGAGAAACCACCTCCCCAGGAGGGATGGCCACACCACAATCCCTTCTCCTCCATTCTTCTCCTGGGATCTTGGGCGTGGACACACGCATCTGGCGTGATTTTCAAGCAATCAGGTCTGGGACTCAAACCCTGGTCAGTTATGTGGGAATCCAGCAAAATAACCACTACGCCATCTGCTAACCGCTGAACAAATTCTTTCTGTGAGCTGAAATGTGTCTTTCCCTCACTGGTGAGCCAGCATAGTATAGCATAATGAGTTATAGCTTTATGGTGGGTTCCAGATGTGGTTTTGAATTCTAAATCTGCCATTTAACAGCCTACTGATTTTCAGGAGATGATATATTCTCTCTGGCCCATTTCCTTTTCTGTAAAATAAGGTAATACCTACCTATTGTGATTGTGAGAAGTTTCAAGAGAATGTCAAGTGTTTTCCGTAACATCTGGCGTACAGTGTACTTTCAATACATAATGATCAGTGTGGCTGCCGTAATTGGTCTGCCACCACTTTGAGTTTTATCTGTTTGAGTCCCAGACCTGGTGGCTTGCTTTCTCATTCCTCCTACCCCACTCTGTCCCTCTCTGGTCAATTTTTTTTTAAAGTAAATAAATAAAGTCAAATGAAATAATTCTTTTAAAAGATATCTATATAGATATATATAGATATATATAGATATATATTGTTTGCTTCCATCTGCCCAAGGCTGCCTTCCTGGAACCACTCTTGTGTGTATCTGAAAACCTATCTAGGGGCCTTCAGGTTGCGTGGTAGTTAAGAACACTGGACTCCCACATGGCCGACCGCGGTTCTAGTCCCAGACCTTGCGGCTTGCTTTCTCACTTTCTCTCTTACTCTCTCTCTTGCTCTGTCTCTCTCTGGTCAAACTAAAATAAATAAATAAATGGATAAATAAAATGAAATAAAATAATTCTTTAAAAAAAGAAAAGAAAAAAGAAAACCTATCTAGTGACAGCTAATGGTGTGGTAGTTAAGGCAACTGGATACCAACTGCACAATTGAGTCCTAGCCCCAGCAGCTTGAAAAACATGGGTGTGTGTGTGCATGCCCAAAATCCCAAAAGGAGAATGGAGGAGAAGGGATTGTGGTGTGGTCATCCCCCGAGGTGTGTTTTCTCATTTTCCCTCCCTCTTCGTCTCTGTCCGGTGAGTGCATACACCCTATTAATAGAATTTAAAAAGCTGGGGCAGGGAACAGCCAGTGGTGTGGTGTTTACAGCAGCTGGATCCCACATAGCTGACTGCGCAGTTTAAGTCAGCTTAAAAAACATACCAGACAAATGTACATGTGTGCACAAAATCCAAAAAGGATGATTACTGTATGATAATCTCTCTCTCGCTCACTCTTTCTCTCTCTCTCTCTCTCTCTCTGTCTGTCTCTTTCCAGTGACTACTTGTGCCCGCTGTCAAAAATTAAAACAAACAAAAAACCAGAAACCCAGGACTAGCCCATGGCTATTAGAGTCATGGTTCAATTCCTGGAAAAGCATGCTGGGCATGTGTGCATGCATGCCCAAGATCCTGAAGGGAGAAAGAGATGGGAGAGATGGGATTGTGGCTTGACAATTCCCCAGGGCGGATGGTGCTTTCTCCTCTACCTCTGTTTCTCTTGTCTCTGGTGAGTTCATGGGCCCTCTGGCATAAAGAAAAAAATGAGAGAGAGAAACCAAGGCCCAGTTGTGGCACCCTGCACTACTGGAAGCCATATGGTGACCTTGTCAGGATCACTGGTATCCCTGGACAACAAGCCCCATATGGGCATCCAACATCCTGAAGAGCTGAGGGCTATGGAAAGGGACCCCAATGTGACAAGACCTTGTCAAGGGGACTTTCTTTCTCTCTTTCTCTTTCCCATGCATGAACAGACTTTCTATCATAAAAAGAAAAAAAAAATGCCTAGTTTCTTTTTAAAATTTTGTGCTTCTTTAGAACTTTTTTTTAAAAAATATTTTGCCCTAGGGGCTGGCAGGTGGCGAGATGGTTAAAGGCTCTGGACTCCCACATGGCCAACCACGGTTCGAGTCCTGGACCTGGTGGCTTGCTTTCTCATGTTCTGTCTCTCTTGTTCTCTCTCACTCTGTCCCTCTCTGGTCAAACTTAAATAAATAAATTTAAAAAATAGTTATTTTGCCCTAGTGTGTATGAGCTCACCAGAGAGAGATAGAAAGAGAGAAAGTGAAAAACCACCCCCTAAGGAGGGAAGGCCACACCACAACCCTTTGTTTTCCATTCTCTTCTGGCAATTTTGGGCACGCATGAACACGTGGCATGGTTTTTAAGCTGCATAACCACAGAGTCAGCCTTGAGACCTAGCATCTTTTTTTTTTTGGAGAGGTTTTTGCTAAAGGTTGCATGTGGTTGCCAGAAAGACAGAAAGCGATAGACAGAAAGCGAGAAATCACCCCCCAGGGGGGATGGCCATGCCCCAATCCCTTCTCCTCCATTCCTCCATTCTCCTCTCGGGATCTTGGGCATGCACGCACATGCGCCCAGCATGAGTTTAAGTCGCCAGGTCTGGGACTCAAACTGTGGTGGACTACATGGGAGTCCAGCGACATAGCCATTATGCTAACTGCTGATCCCACCTAGCATCTTTTCTTTTCTTAATAATTTTATTTAGTTATTTTTAATTTGACCAGAAAGAGGGGGGAGAGAGGAAAGAGAAAGAGAAAGCAAGCCAGGTCTGAGACTCAGAACTCAGTTGGCCACGTGAGAGTCCAGCGCCCTAAGTCACCACACCACCTGCCAGCCCAGACCTAGCATCTTAATCACCACGCCACCTTAAAAAAAGAATTATTTTATCATTATTATTCACATGAGTTTTTGCCAGAGAAAGTCAGGCAGAGAGAGAGAGGATGAAGGAGCAAGCTGCCAGGTCCGGGATTCAAACCATGGTCAGCCATGTGGGAATCTCAGCGCCTTAGCCAGCATGCCAACTGCTGGCCCCAAGTATAACAAGTTTTCTGAGTGCTTACATAAATCACTGAACTAGAGGGTGGTTTGGAAAATCCCCAGAACATCCTTTATATCAGTAAAGGTCTAATAAGTGTACATATATTTATATACTTACTAGTTTTTTATTTTTTTGGTGTTTCTTTTTGGAGAGGTTTTTGCTATAGGGTACGTAACAGAGACAGAGAGACAAAAGGAGAAATCACCCCCCCCCCCGTGGGGGGGAATGGCCACGCTGCAGTCCCTTCTCCATTCTCCTCTGGGGGTCTTGGGCACTCACACATATGTGCCCAGTGAGAGTTTTAAGCCACCGGGTCTGGGATTCAAACCACTTTGTTAGAAGACTATTTCAAGTATTGACAAAGGACCACCTTTTACTTGTTAAATATGCATGTTAAAGCCAGAGACTACTCAGAGTAATCAGATGTTCTATTAACAATGTTTATGAGAACTCGGGCAGTATTCTTAGAAAAGCCCTTTAGAGTTTGTACTGTACTCCTTGTTGTGATTGGCTAGGAGTGGAATTCCCTGCCCACTTCATATTACTATTTCTCAGCCTTCATTTTATTCACCTCCCTCCGTTTGCACTCCTCCTCATCTAACACTTGAGGTAAGATACTAAGCTTTTTGTGTGATGCCTACTTATTGTAAAGTATGCTTAGCATATGTCAGTAAAATGCCAAAGTATAATTGGTTAAATTGTCAGGATAACTGAACATTAAAGCTGCTTATCAAGAAAGTATATTTATTTGTAAATGAAAGTAAAAAATTTCTATTTCAAAACCAAGTCATTCTGGCCAGCGAGTGGTTGAGGTGCCGGATTCCCATATGGCTGACAGTGGTTCAAGTCCCAGACCTGGTGGCTTGTTTTCTCATTTCCCCGCCCCTCGTCTCTCTCTGGTTAAATTTAAAGATTAATGATAATAAATAAAATTAAATAATTCTTTTTTTAAAAAAAAGCAAAACATTCTGTAAAACTTTCCATTTCTATTAGTCATATAAATTTTCTTTTATGAAAGTGATAGTCTAAGACACTTGTGTAATTTTTATCTGAAATGTCAGCTATAGAGTAGAAAATGATTATAGAAATACTTGAGAATTGTATCTACACTGATTAAACACTTACTCATAAACCTTAAGAAGTACCTTTTGCTTCATGCTTTATACCGACCAGTAGAAGATTGCATGTTTAATCCAGAGGTAAGGCTAAAGAAAATGAATCCTGTGTGCCCTCTTGGTTTGGCTTTTTTTTCTCCCTTACTTTTTCCAATTCTGCCAGAGGGTGTATACACTTACAGGAGGAGAGGGTGGTTTAGAAAGCACCTCCCATCCCATAATGGATGGTCATAACTCAGTCCCTTAATCCCTTCTCCATTTTCCACTCCCCTCAGGTTTGGGGCATGCACACACATGTGCACATGCACATGCGTACACACATGCCCCTCCTGTTTGCCAGTTCACTGGATCTAGAACTCTAACTGCTTATTCAGCCAAGTGGAATCCAGCCACCTGAACTACCATGGGACTGGCCGGCCCTGCCAGTCTCATTTATATGTTAACCATTTAAAGTATCACTGTTAAAAGAGGTCATTTGTTCATCTCTCACTTGGAATATTAAATGCAAGAAACTGCAGATGCCTGTGTGAAAACAGAAACCTAATGCCCTTCTGTACCCTTTATATAACTGAACTGTTAATGTCCATTTCCAGAGTATCGCTGTTCACGCTTGCTGCACTTTGAACTCTTGCGATAATCAGCCAACAATAGCATTTGTGTAAACTCACACCTAAAGAAGAAAGAAAATGGCCTGTGCTGAGTTTTCTTTTCATATGCCAAGTCTAGAGGAACTTGCTGGAGGTAAAACAATATATTTATTTATTTTATTTTATTTACTATTATTTTAAAATTTGCTATACGGCACATGAGTTCATCAGAGAGAAAGGAGAGAGAGGGGCTGGCAGGTGGTGTGGTTAAGGGTGCTGGATTCCCTCATGGCCCATTGTGCTTCAGGTCCATGGACCTAGAGGCTTCCTTACTCATTTTCCCTTTCTCTCTCTCTCTCTTTACTCAAATTTTTAAAAAATAATAGTAATAACAAATGGAAATAAATAAATAATTCTTTAAAAACAAAAACAAAGACAGTAGAAGAGAGAGAGAAAGTAAGCCACCAGGTCTGGGATGCAAACCATGGTCAGCCATGTGGAGGAGTCCAGTTCTCAGCCACCACACCACCTGCTGGGCCCCATAAAAACATTAACTTGGGATTCCAGGAATTACTCTATGGCCAGCAAGTAGTGTGGAGATTAAGGCACTGGGTCCCACAAAGCCAACTGTGTGGTTCAAGTCCCAGACCCAGGAGCTTGAAAATTACACTGGGAGCATGTGCGTGTGTGCCCAAAATCCTGAGAGAATGGAGAAGGGATTGGGGTATGGCCATTCTCCCTAGGGGCTGATTTCTCACTTTCTCTCTCTCTCTCTTCCTCCTTCTCTCTGTCTCTGGTGAGTGCACGTGCCCTAGAGTATATAAAAAGTTTTTAAAAAATTATTCCAGAGAAAAATATTTATAAAATAAAAGGATTTTAAGATATATTTATGTCTTACTTGTTACAATAGTGGGGTTTTTTTTGTTTTTTTTTTTTTGTTTGTTTGTTTGTTTTGCTATAGGGTGCGTGTTCTTGCCAGACAGAGAGAGACATAGAGACAGAAAGCGAGAAATCACCCCCCAGGGAGGATGGCCACACCACAGTCCTTTTTCCTCCTTTATCCTCTCGGGATTTGGTCATGCACGCACACACACCTGGAGCGAGTTTTAAGCCACCAGGTCCTGGCCGCGAACTGCGGTCAACTACATGGGAGTCCAGCGACATAGCCATTACGCTAACTGCTGGTCCCTACAATAGTGATTTTGATAACAGAATTGATTTCTGTTTCAGTGTGTGTAATATTTTTGTTGCATGTGTCTAAAATTCTCTCTCTCCAGGGACCAGCAGTTGGCATAATGGCTATGTCACTGGACTCCCATGTAGTTGACTACGGTTTGAGTCCCGGACCCGGTGGCTTAAACTCACGCCAGGCGCGTGTGCGTGCGTGCCCAAGATCCCGAGGGGAGAATGTAGTAAAAGGGACTGTGGAGTGGCCATCCCCCTTGGGGGGGTGACATCTCACTTTTTGTCTCTCTTTCTCTTTCTGTCTTTCTGGTGAGCGCATGCACCCTATAGCAAAAATCTCTCAAAAAAAAAAAAATTCTCTCTTTCCCAAACCGTTAAACTTACTATTTGTGGTTTGATGATATGAACTTTATAGGATGAAAATGACTGTAGTCATCCAAGATTTAAGTTCATGTGATGCTTAAGGAGTTGCACAATGTTATTTCAGTAACTTTGTACCAGTTATGATAGTCTTTAACTGTATAATATGCTGTTGGGTATTCTTCATGTTCTCAATAAAACTTTTCTCCCTCTTCTGATATGACTCCCAGTGATACTGCTTATTAGATTTCTCTGTGTATAATTTTACATATTTCACCTTGTTCAAACAAGGATTTAAGACAGCTTTTCAGGGCTAGCAGGTGGTGTGGTGGTTAAGTGCACTGGGCTCCCGCATGGCTGACCATGGTACGAGTCCTGGACCTGGCGGCTTGCTTCCTTACATTTCCCCCCTCTCTCTCTCTGGTCAAATTAAAATAATAAAAATGATGATGATGAATAAAATGAAATAATTATTTTTTAAAAGAATATTAAGAATTTTAGGGAATATGTGCTTGCAGGAGAGAGACAGACAGAGACAGCGAGAGGGAAAGTGAGCAATCACCCCAAAAGGGATGGCCATGCTGCCATCTCTTCGATTCTCCTAGGATCCTAGACCCACATGCACACACTCTCAGACTTTAAGCCACTGGGTCTGGTACTCGAACCACGGTCATTCATGTAAGAGTAGCAATGTAACTGCTGGCCCTGAGACTCATTATATTTTATTTTTAGAATTTTTTATTTTATTTATTATTTTTACTGTTTATAATTTGCCACAGGGCACACATGCTTACCAGAGAGAGAATGAAAAAAAAAAGTGAGAAAGCAAGCTACCAGGTCCAGGACTCAAACTATATTCAGTCATGTGGGAGTTCAGCACCTTAACCACCACGCCACTTGCTGGCTACCCCAAGGCTCATTTTAAAAGACAGTAAAGTAACAACTAACACTACTGTCAGTCATTTTAAGAATGTTTGATCCTTAAAAGTACATTGCTCTTAGATTTTATAACTGAGACACCTACACTTTTCTATGTTTTTATTGAATAAAAGATATCTATACAGTGGGGCCAGCAGGTGGCATGGTAGTTAAAGGTGCTGGATTCCCATATAGCTGACTGCAGTTCAATTCCCAGACCTGATGGCTTGCTTTCTCGCTTTTGATTTTTCTCATTCTCTTTCTTTTCTCTGGTCAAATTTAAAATAACAATAACAATAACAACAACAAATGGAATTAAATAAATAAATAAATAATTCTTTTTTTTTTCCCCATCTTGCACATTGAGAAAGACAGAGAGAGAGAGAGAGAGAGGGATGGACTCTGCCGCAATCCTCCAGCCTCCATAGGTTTTTGCCATAGGGCGGGTGCCACCATGCCATAAATAAATAGTTCTTTTTTTAAAAAACTGCAGTAAAGTACACTTATATTGATAAATGTTAATGTGTTTACACTCATATGACTCCCATCCCCATCAAACATTTCCAGCATCCTAGAAGGCTCCTTTGTGCACCTTCCAGGTCAAGGTCTTACCCCAAGAGGTAACTACTGTTTTGACATCTACTGCCTTGGTTTGGTAGCCTGTTCTTGAAATCCATAGAGTGAAGCCACGTGTATAGTATGTACCCTTGTATCTGGCTTCTTTTGCTCATAGTTTTGTTTGTAATCTTCACTAAAGTTGTTGTATGTGATGGCTTACTTTTTAAACAGTGTAGATATTTTCATTTCAGTAGATTTTTGGAATCCTCTTCCCAAAATGGAGGAAGTCCTCTTCCAAGTACAGCCTATTTTCAGTGGTTTGTAATCCCTGTGGTGAGATCTTTATGAGATCAGCATATGCTCTTTTGTAGTTATGTCTGATGTCTAATTATGGTCACTAATAAGACCACTTCTTCCTTTTCCCTCCCCGCCTCTTTATTCATGGTTGAGTGCATGTGTTCATGTGTGAGAGAGTGCTAGACAGAAAGAGATGATCATCCTCCCCAGAGTCTGGTCATGCCCCAGTCCCTTCCTTCCAGTCCCTCGACCAATCAGCACTCATGCATGTGCCTGGCAGGTTTCAGGCTGACTGGACCAAGGATTTGAACTGTGGTCACCGTGTGGGATCTGGGCCCTCTAGAGCAGTGCATTACCACTGTGCCATAGAGCACTCCCTCCCCCATTTTTTTTTTTTTTTTAGAGACTTTTCACTGTAGGGCGCGTGTACTTGCCAGACAGACAGAGAGAGACATAGAGACAGAAAGCGAGAAATCACCCCCCAAAGGGGATGGCCACGCCGCAATCCCTTCTCCTCCATTCTCCTCTCGGGATCTTGGGCACGCACGCACACGCACCCGGTGTGGGTTTTAAGCCCCTGGGTCTGGGACGCGAACCACAGTCGTCTACATGGGAGTCCAACAACATAACCATTATGCTAACTGCTGGTCCCCACCAGTTTGTTCACCTCCGGTCCCCCCCCCCCCATTTTTTATTATGCAAGTTTAGGTTGGGAGTGTGACACAGAAAAGTTGAGGGAAGATTTGATATGTGATGGCTGAATTTTTACCTAATGTGAAAATAAGCTTTTCTCTTGTATTTACAGTTTTGCAGAAGGGACTAAAAACTAACTTTGCTGATGTCCAGGTGTCTGTAGTTGATTGCCCTGATTTGACTAAGGAGCCATTTACCTTTCCTGTAAAAGGTAAGCAGTTTTGCCATGAGCTTTATTTTTTTGCAGTTCTAATCTTTTTCAGAAGCCAGAATAATTTTTAAAGATTATTGATCTTAAATTATCTATTAATACCATAAAAGATATTGTCACAGCACTCAGGCTAAATTATACCTAATTTCTGTACTCACCATTCTCTGATAATGGTCAAAGTTCATTTTATGTTGTTGTAGAGAAAGATTATGTTTTATGCACTTTGGTAAACTGCACGGTTATGTAATAGGAATTCAATCGTCTAGAACCCCTGATAACCACATTAGAGTTTTGTTTTGAATTGCTCAAGTGCCCATTTTAGAAACTCACTTTATTGTTTTTATTTATTTATTCAAGATGAGAAGGGATCTTCAAAGCCTTGAATTTGAATCACCTATTAAATACCTATAACCCTTTGAAGAACATGCCAAGTGTGTGTGTTTATGCATGGCTGAAATTCCAAAAAGATGGGGAAATGGAGGAGGGATTGTGGCATCACCCCCTCCCTCCACTGGGGGTGCTTTCTCCCTCTCTCGCTCTTTCTCTACTGGGTACACATACTCTCTGGCAATTAAAAAACATGTTGTCAGGCACGGCAGTGATGCACTGTTGAAGAGGAGGTGGATCTCAGAGACCATGGCTCACATCCCCAGCCCCATCAGCATGAAAATGAAACACACCGAACATGCACACCAAGTGCCCAAGATCCAACAGGCTGGAGGCCTGGGGAGGGGATCATGGTGTGACCAGCCTGTGGTGGTGCTCATCTCTCCCCCCCACCTTTCTCACTCTCACAAGTGCGCACATATATGCTATGACTAAAGAAAGAAAAAAAAGTTGAGCATAGACGTCTTGGACCCTAGTTCTGTCTCTGCCACACACAGATTTCATTACTCCGAGGAAGTCACTTATGTATCTGTAATGAGAGGACTTGATTTGAATGCTCTTTTGGGTCTTTACAGCTTGAACAATCTTCCTTTTTTTCTTTTTTTTTTTGTCTTTTGTTTGTTTGTTTGTTTGTTTTATTAAAGAGATAGGAGAAAGAGGGGGAAACAAAGAGACATGACAGTTATCTCCAACAGAGTTTGCTGTGCTGCAGTCCTCTGGCCCCCTTAGCTAGGATTACAGCACACTTAACCGTGCCAGCGTGTTCTGGAATTGAACATGGGGGTTGTTCACAGCATCAAGACCTTGTAGCTCTCTCTGTGTTTTTCACTCATGGAGGAAATAAACTTTAAAAGAAAATAAAGTTATCTCTAATTACTTGGCATTTTTATAAAGAACTTTGACAAGAGTATTTCCCAGAATGGATCTAAAGAACTTACATTCAACCAGAGCAAAGTTTGTTTGTTTTTTTTCTTAAGAGAGTTTTTTTGCTATAGGGCATGTGTGCTCGCCAGAGACAAAGAGAGAAATCACTCTTCAGGGGAATGGACACACCACAATCCCTTGTCCATTCTCCTCTCGGGATTTTGGGCATGCACGCCAACACACTCTGCATGAATTCTAAGCTGCCGCATATGGGACTTGAACCACAGTTGATTACATGAGAGTCCAGCAACATAACCATTACACCATCTGCTGGACCCTAGAGCAAAGTATTTTAAATGAAAAACAAAATAATTTTAGCTGATAATAATAAAAAAAAAACACCCCTCAAAAAAAACCCAGTTTTTTTTTTAAATTGCTTTTCCTTTTATTCATGATAGACCATATATGTGCACATGTAAGAGACTGAGGTGACATCCTCCACAGGGTCTGGTCACATTGCACTCCCCTTCCTCCAGTCCTCTGGCTCATTGGTTTTGGGCCCTTGGCATGTGCCTGATGTGTTACAGGCTCACCTGGACAAGGATTCATACCTCAGTTGCCATATGGGATCCAGCTTCTCTTGAGCAGTGCATTCTTTTTGCACCTTAGAGCTGGCCTCAAAAAACAGTTATTCTTTTTTTTAGAGAGATTTTTGCTACAGGTGCATGCACTGGCCAGAGAGATAGAAAACGAGAAATCACTCCGCAGGGGAATGGCCACACTGCAATCCCTTCTCCTTCACTCTCCTCTCAGAATTTTGGGCATGCATACACATACGCTGCCAGGTCCAGGACTCGAACTACAGTCAACTATGTGGGAGCCAAGTAACATGACCATTGTGCCATCTGCTGGTCTCTCAAAAAACAATTTTTAAAGAATGAGGTGTTACAGACTAACTCCAGATATTCCATTTATTCAAAGTGTTGGCCCCATTTTCTAGCCCCTACCCTACTAGCAACTTCCTTTTTTTTTTTTTTTTTTTTTTGAGAGGTTTTTGCTATAAGGCGTGTGCACTTGCCAGAAAAACAGAGAGAGAAAGAGAGATAGAAAGCGAGAATTTACTCCCCAGGAGGAATGGCCATGCCACAATCCCTTCTCCTCAATTCTCCTCTCTAGATCTTAGGCACATGCACGCACACGCACCCGGCATGAGTTTAAACAACTGGGTCCAGGACTCAAACCACGGTCAACTACTTGGGAACCCAGAGACATAGCCATTATGCCATCTGCTGGTCCCCTTTTTTTATTTGTATTTTTTTTCCTATTAGCAACTTTCTATGGCCTTATGCCAGCAACTGTATCAATCCTGCAGGGTTGTGATGGTAGAGGAGACATGAGTAATTAAAAGAAGATAGAGTGCCTACTGCCTCTATCTCCCAACTCCTGCATTTTGTAAAACTCTTTATGAGAAAAAAGAAGTTATATAATCTTAATAGTTAGCATCTTCTGGCATTTTATACTTAGATGTTTGCCTACTTCTTTTTTTTTTTTTTGGAGAGGTTTTTTCGCTATAGGGCGCATGCGCTCACCAGACAGAGAGAGGGAGACAGAGACAGAAAGCGAGAAATCACCACCCAGGGGGGATGGTCACGACATAATCCCTTCTCCATTCTCCTCTTGGGATCTTGGGTGCTCATGCCTGGAGTATTTTCAGTTTTAGCCCCCCGGGGCCGGGACACGAACCGCAGTTGACTACGTAGGAGTCCAGCGACATAGCCATTATGCTAACTGCTGGTTCCCGATGTTTGCCTACTTCTAAGAAGACTTTTGTTTTTTTTTCAGGCATCTGTGGTAAAACTAGAATTGCAGAAGTAGGCGGTGTGCCTTATTTATTGCCTCTTATAAACCGTGAAAAAGTAAGTATGCTTTCACTCTTTGCATTCATGTGAAGATAGAGAACTTGAGTTGATTCTTCTGTTTATTATTAAAAGATCCATTCTAATCTTCTATGGGAAGGAGGTGTTAAAGAACTCAAGAATAAAAAGCCAGGGAATCTGTGTAAGTTATGACTCAAATAAAATTTTGTTCCTCTTATAGGTTTACGATCTGAATAAGATTGCCAAAGAAATTAAACTGCCTGGAGCTTTCATTCTTGGAGCAGGGGCAGGCCCATTTCAGACTCTTGGGTTCAATTCTGAGGTCAGTATACATATTTATTTTCTCATATTGATTTGACATTGGTTTGTCTTGGTCCTTTCACTGCCCTAGTAAAAGCCTTCTTTCTGGATGAATTGTAAGTGGTTGATATCATCTCTCCCTCTGCTCTGACACAGATGCAGATGGGGCTATAGCACCTGCTCTGACTGGTCCAGCTGTAAGGAGCACTAACCTCGAATTTCAGATTTGCTTAGGGTACAGGTTCAGCCTTAGGTGAATCCACGGTCCCAGGGTATTCTGCTGACGGCCCTGAATTGTAAAAGATTTCTATCTTCTATGTCATAGGATTCTTACCTTCTCCATAAATCTTTGCTCTTAGTTTGAAGATAGCTTTGATCAGAATATAAATGGAATGTTAATGATTTCTTGCAGATCAAAGAAAGGAAACAATCAGAGTAGAATAATGGCTGTCTATGAAAGCTAATAGCTATTACTAACATACGTCCTACACCCCAGTATTTAGGCAAATACATACATGACAGCTACATACATTGTATGTACTAAATGATAATCTGTATTGGGTCATGGGAAAAGTCATGGTATATTTTTCTGTTTTCTGTGTACTACTACTGTATACTACCTAGTGGCACATGTGACACTTATTAGTAATATATACTGTTACTGCATAAAACTCACTGTTTCTTTGCATCTCATGATAGATGAGTGAACGACTTCTTCATTCTGCTCATTGATAACTTTTTCATATATGACCATATAAGTTATTTTGAAGAAATAACATGATTTTCCAAGTGTTCAAGATAGAAAAAATGTTTATGCCCAGGCAGAGACACAATGGTAACACAGCTATACCCACACGGAGAGATCCTAGTTCGTATTCTGAGAGCTCCCTGAGCACACCAGGCATGCACACACAAGCTTACAATCCAGCCGGCTGAGACTGAGAGAGGACCTCAGTGGGAAGACCCAGTTGGGAGTGCCTGTCTCTCTCTATATATCATCTAAGAAATATGTATAAAAGATAAAGAGAAAAGTTGAAAATTAGTCATTTTAAAGCAAATGTTAATATTATAGAAACACTGTAGGAAATACTGTAAACATTTAATATAATTTTTCCAGTTTATTAATCTAATAAGAAATATTTAATCTAGATAAATATTAATATTTTCTGATTAGGACTTGAAATAAAAAGTCTGAAAGTCTGACAAAACATTTTGTTCCATTATTCAAAATATTCTCTTTGCATAGAGATACTAAGATAAACTAACTGTCTTATTTTCTTTTCAGTTCATGGCAGTCATTCAAACAGAGAGTGAAAACAAACCTCCTGTGAACGGAAGTTACTTTGCGCATATTAACCCTGCCGATGGAGGGTGCCTATTAGAGAAATACAGTGAAAAACATCGTGATTTTGGGTGTGCATTACTGGCTAATCTTTTTGCCAGTGAGGGCCAACCAGGCAAGGTGATTTTGTCCATAAAAACACAGTAGTCTCTAAATGTTCTCAGATAGCTAAACAATTAGAAATTTTATTGCCCCAAATATGATTTTCCTAAGAAAACCAGAGTTATCTATATCACAGCTCTTTGAAAAACCCAGTTATGAAAGAGTCAGAGAGTACTACAAACAAAATGAAAGTTATATTTAACATTGAGGTTAACAATGAGACTCAGGGGTCCAGCAGAGGCGTTATGTCGCTGGACTGCCACATGGCCCACAGCACTTGAAGCACTTTCATTACTTCAAGTCCTGGCCCCAGTGACTCATGCCAGGTTTGTGTGCGTGCCTAAAATTCCGATAGGAAAATGGAGAAGGGATTGTGGCGTGGCCATCCCCTCAGGGGGGGTTTCTCACTTTCTCTCTCTCTGTTTCTCTCTCTCCAGTGATCGCACATGCCTATAGCATAAATCTCTTCCCCCAATTTTTTTTTCTTTTAAATCTCTAGAGCTCTGTGTAGCATTTAGCCCACATAACTCTTTCTCAGTTCAAAACACATGAATAAGATGTATTATTAGATTATATTATATATAAGTGATATATATGATATATGCGTCTGTATGTGTGACTGATCAAGAATCAAAGAGGACTGAGGCATCTCAACTCAGAACCGGGTGCTCTAACCAAATAGTATTTGCTTGATGGCATTAACTCATACAGTGTTTCTCTTTGGTAGTTATTTATCTAACAGTTTGTGACTTAGCAAGTGGTATGCATATTTATGTCCTCTGTAGGTCATTGAGGTGAAAGCCAAAAGAAGAACTGGACAACTTAACTTTGTGACTTGCATGAGACAGACACTGGGGAACCATTATGGAGATAAGCCTGTAGGCATGGGAGGTACTTTCATAGTTCAGAAGGGAAAAGTGAAGACTCATATTATGGTAAGGGCCCATGTGTGCATGGGTATGTGTGCGTGCATGTGCTTGGGACCATAGGATTTTTAAACATATGTTGGGAATTCTACCTTTACTTCAGATGCCTCTAAGTTTTAGGATGGATTTCTCTATCTACACTAAAGTCTTTGGGATTTCCTGAGCACACCAGGCATGCACACACAAGCTTACAATCCAGCCGGCTGAGACTGAGAGAGGACCTCAGTGGGAAGACCCAGTTGGGAGTGCCTGTCTCTCTCTATATATCATCTAAGAAATATGTATAAAAGATAAAGAGAAAAGTTGAAAATTAGTCATTTTAAAGCAAATGTTAATATTATAGAAACACTGTAGGAAATACTGTAAACATTTAATATAATTTTTCCAGTTTATTAATCTAATAAGAAATATTTAATCTAGATAAATATTAATATTTTCTGATTAGGACTTGAAATAAAAAGTCTGAAAGTCTGACAAAACATTTTGTTCCATTATTCAAAATATTCTCTTTGCATAGAGATACTAAGATAAACTAACTGTCTTATTTTCTTTTCAGTTCATGGCAGTCATTCAAACAGAGAGTGAAAACAAACCTCCTGTGAACGGAAGTTACTTTGCGCATATTAACCCTGCCGATGGAGGGGGCCTATTAGAGAAATACAGTGAAAAACATCGTGATTTTGGGTGTGCATTACTGGCTAATCTTTTTGCCAGTGAGGGCCAACCAGGCAAGGTGATTTTGTCCATAAAAACACAGTAGTCTCTAAATGTTCTCAGATAGCTAAACAATTAGAAATTTTATTGCCCCAAATATGATTTTCCTAAGAAAACCAGAGTTATCTATATCACAGCTCTTTGAAAAACCCAGTTATGAAAGAGTCAGAGAGTACTACAAACAAAATGAAAGTTATATTTAACATTGAGGTTAACAATGAGACTCAGGGGTCCAGCAGAGGCGTTATGTCGCTGGACTGCCACATGGCCCACAGCACTTGAAGCACTTTCATTACTTCAAGTCCTGGCCCCAGTGACTCATGCCAGGTTTGTGTGCGTGCCTAAAATTCCGATAGGAAAATGGAGAAGGGATTGTGGCGTGGCCATCCCCTCAGGGGGGGTTTCTCACTTTCTCTCTCTCTGTTTCTCTCTCTCCAGTGATCGCACATGCCTATAGCATAAATCTCTTCCCCCAATTTTTTTTTCTTTTAAATCTCTAGAGCTCTGTGTAGCATTTAGCCCACATAACTCTTTCTCAGTTCAAAACACATGAATAAGATGTATTATTAGATTATATTATATATAAGTGATATATATGATATATGCGTCTGTATGTGTGACTGATCAAGAATCAAAGAGGACTGAGGCATCTCAACTCAGAACCGGGTGCTCTAACCAAATAGTATTTGCTTGATGGCATTAACTCATACAGTGTTTCTCTTTGGTAGTTATTTATCTAACAGTTTGTGACTTAGCAAGTGGTATGCATATTTATGTCCTCTGTAGGTCATTGAGGTGAAAGCCAAAAGAAGAACTGGACAACTTAACTTTGTGACTTGCATGAGACAGACACTGGGGAACCATTATGGAGATAAGCCTGTAGGCATGGGAGGTACTTTCATAGTTCAGAAGGGAAAAGTGAAGACTCATATTATGGTAAGGGCCCATGTGTGCATGGGTATGTGTGCGTGCATGTGCTTGGGACCATAGGATTTTTAAACATATGTTGGGAATTCTACCTTTACTTCAGATGCCTCTAAGTTTTAGGATGGATTTCTCTATCTACACTAAAGTCTTTGGGATTTCAATAGGGATTGCATTGAATCTTTAGCTTGCTTTGGATAGTATTAAAATCTTAATAATATTAAGTTATCCAATCTGTAAACACAGTATGTCTTTCCATTAATTGGAGTCTTGCTTAATTTCTTTTACCAACATTTTGAAGTTTTCATTGTACAGATGTTTCTTCTTTTTGGCTAAGTTTATTCAAAAGTATTTTATTCTTTTTTTTTTTTTTTTTTTGAGAGGGTTTTTTTTCACTATAGGGCGCGTGCGCTCGCCAGACAGACAGAGAGAGACATAGAGACAGAAAGCGAGAAATCACCCCCCAGGGGGGATGGTCACGCCGCAATCCCTTCTCCTCCATTCTCCTCCCGGGATCTTGGGCATGTACGCACATGCGTCCGGCTTGAGTTTTAAGCCACCGGGTCCGAGACACGAACCGCGGTCAACTACGTGGGAGTCCAGCGACATAGCCATTACACTAACTGCTGGTTCCCGAGTATTTTATTCTTTTTGATGCTCTGCTTTTATTTTTCTTCACTGGTAGTAGTAATGAAATTTAAGATTAGTATGGGAACCTATACATAGGAAATCCGAGGGACCAGCAGTTAGCGTAATGGCTATGTCACTGAACTCCCATGTAGTTGACCACGGTTCCAATCCCGGACCCGGTGGCTTAAACTCACACCAGGCGCGTGTGCGTGCATGCCCAAGATCCTGAGAAAAGAATGGAGGAGAAGGGATTGTGGTGTGGCCATCTCCCCTGGGGGATGATTTCTTGCTTTCTGTCTCTCTGTCTCTCTCTGTCTTTCTGGCGAGTGCATGCACCCTATAGCAAAAACCTCTAAAAAGAAAAAGAAAAAAAAATTAAAAAGTTTAAAAAATAATATTCAGTGAGTTTACCTACTTAATGATCTTTTATTGTAGCCCCCAGAATTTTCTTCCTGTCCCCTGAACACTGATGAAGAGGTGAATAAATGGTTACATTTTTATGAAATGAAGGCTCCTTTGGTTTGTCTGCCAGTGTTTGTCTCCAGAGACCCAGTAAGTCTGTGTCTTTTATAATGCAGTATACTACAATAATAATGCTTGGTTTTTAGGATATTCTTTTAAAATCAGGCACTTCTAAGTGTTGTTATTTAACAACTAGAAGAGTTTATAGAATTACCTTGAAAGGTAAAGGAGCAGGTGACTCACCACCCTACGGATTAGGCCGAGCAGAATTGTGCCTTTGAAAACGTGAAAGCACAGTTACATTATTAAATAACAGCGAGGATGAGAGCTAGGATTAAGGTCTCCTCTTATCTTCTTTGATGTTCATTACAATCTAATACTACACCCTGGAAAAACTATCATACAGACCAATTCAAAGTAAATACTTACCAAAACACCGAGTGGTCATAATCGTTTGACCCAGTGAACGTATGTCTAAGATTTTATCCTTACGTATGTGCATAACTGTGTAAACTGTTCAGTTAGAAGGTTATTCATGACAGCATTATTATAATAGCAGAAGGATTGGAAATAATGTGAATATCAGTTGGAGACTGTTATATACGTACAATGGAATCTCATGGTGTAAAGAACGTGAGGTGAATAAAAAACAGTATGCAGAACAGCATGTAGAGTAAACAGCAATCTGAGTAAAACAATAAAAGTAAGTATTTCTGGAAGGATATGCAAGACACTGCTTCTGTCAGTCACCTGCAAGGGAAAGAATGAATTTTGAATTCAAGAAAGCAAAGATACATTTTATTGAATATATCCTTTTACACCCTTTGAATCTGGAATAATATGAATGTATAACCTATGTAAAAAGTAAAATAAAAATTATTGTAAGTAGAAGTGCTCTGTTCTCCTCTTAAACAAATTCTAATCAAAATAACTTTAGTACTAACAGGTTGCTTGTCTCTCTTCCTAGGGGTTCGACTTGCGACTGGAGCACACTCATTTTTTCAGTCATCACGGAGAAGGTGGACACTACCATTATGACACTACCCCAGAAACAGTGGAGTATCTTGGATACTTTCTACCTGCAGAGCTTCTCTATCGAATTGATCAGCCAAAAGAGACCCATTTAATTGGGCGAGATTAGAGCCAATTACTCATTAGAAGAAATAATTAAAGTTAATTAACTCATTAATTGATACTAATATAAAATCTAATGAAGTGATATCATTACTTAAACCTCATTTTTTAAATGAAAGGGATATTGATATATTCTATATTATTTTATATATCTGTCTGAAAGAGATTATTGGGAACAACGATACCTAATTGAGATTTTCTTCAATTTTCTTTCATATACCTATATACATTTTTTGAACCAACTTCATTTTTAAAAATTCTATTATATCATCAAAATCAGTCTTGTTTATACCTCAAATATAAGCATGATCCGGCACCATACCTACTATCATAACATTAAATTTTTCAAATTTGTCTCACAATTGCTAAGTGGATATAGAAATGTTGGCCTGGGCTGGCCCTGTGGCCTACTGGTTAAGGGAGCAAGATCCCATTAGGCTGACCTACGTGTGAATCCTGGCACTGGTGGCTTGAAAAATAAACCAGGTGCATATGCATGCATTCCCAAATCCCAATCCACAGGTTGGAGAAATGGAGGAAAAGGGACTGACATGTGGCCATGCTCCCTTGAGGGTTCTTGAGGAAGTTTTCCTCTTTCTGTCTCTGTCTCTGGCAAGTACACTAACAATCTTGCAATTAAAAAAAAGGAAAGAAATGTCTTTCATGAAATATGAAATTATATTCTTTTATTGATTGGGCCCTTGGCTGGGCCCAATATCAGTGTTCTTGAAATTTTCCCTCCATGTTCTTTTATAATCATTGTTAGCCAGAAATCAGCTCTTTAATCTTACTAATGACAACAATGTGCAAATTTGGGAGCTCTTTAGAACTAAGCACATAATCTTCAAATTATCTTTTTTGATTGTCTACTTAGCATATTAGCTATGTCTGTTAATATGAATTTCTAAATATTTTTAGATAAGCACTATTTTGAAGCAAAAAAACTGAATAAAATTTTTATATTTATAACATGATTTTTTTTTAATATCTTACCTCCAGAAATTATATATCTTATTTTTCTTTTTAAAGACAGGGTCCTGAACCCCCTGCCTTAGTCTCTCAAGTAGCTGAGACCATGTGTCACCAGGTCCATTTCTTTCAAACAATGTCCCAAGCTGTGTTGCTGTGGCCAGCCTCATGTGCACAGTCATCATGCCTTCACCTTCCTGGGTCACTAGGATTACAGGCACAGACCCCAACACCCAGCTTTTAGGTTGGGTCAGGGAACTGAACCTGGCCCTCACACATGGTTCCAGCCTACAGGGCTCTATGTTTTAGCAGCACACATCACCATGGCTGGGCCCAATATCAGTATTCTTGGTTTAACAAATACATGTTGAGCATACCTCCCCTACCCTCTAGAATGTAAACTCTTGAGGGCAAGAACTTTGTTAACCACTGTTGCCTTTAACAGTGCCTAGTCAAGGTGGGCATTCAGTAAATATGTGTTGAATGAATGAGCTCATGGATGACTGTACCCTTCACTACATGGTAGGGGTCTACAGTGGAGGAATACAAACAATAAGTATGTAATATGCCAGGTGGCGTTAAGTGCTATGAAGAAAGAGCAGGTAATGGACTGTAAAGGAAGATACTCTTTTGTTGTGGCCGTCCCATAGAGACAGGATGGAATCTCCAAAAATTTGGCTCAGATGTTTAGACTGATGAAATCACACACACACACACACACACACACACACCAACCAAGTATGAAAGGGTATGTCACCTACATGTTTTCTGGAGAGAGCAGAACAACTTTTAAGCAAGTACAAAAATAGTTCAAATAGGAATACTGGCTTGAAATTTTTATGGTGGTTAGGGAGTAGGGCCAGGATGATGGTTTCTGAATAGTTTTAATTTCTCACAAGTATAAAAGCAGCGAGCATCCAGGATTGCTTTTCAGCTTGCCAGAATGTGGGGGTGGGGGTGGGGGAGAAGGACTTAGCCATCAAGCCTCAAAAATGGAATCAGGGCCTACCCTATGGGGCAGTGGTAATGTTCTGCTCAGAGGAACTGGATCCCACACGGTCACCACTGTTTGAATCCCAGGCCAAGCTGGCCTGAAATATATCAGGCATGTGCACAAGTGCCCAAGAGCCAATGGATTGGAGGACCAAAGGAAGGGAATCAGCATGACTACAGTGTGAAGGGTGCTCCTCCTTCCCTCTCACATGCGCACATACAGCACGTACTCATACACAATCATGGATCAAGGTTTTTTTAATGAATTCGATTGTTACATGTTTTACAGGAGATCTGAAAAAGACTCTGATAGTGACATTTATACACAGATCTGAAATAAATGAATGAACCATGAACACCCTGATAGATTCAGGGCCCAGAGGCTGAAAGAACATGGTATGGTCAAGAAACAGCAGGGGGCCTAGCCTAGCATACTGGACTACAGTGCTGGGAACCACGTGGCTGACCGTGAGTTCAGATCCTCAGCCCAGTCGCCTGAAAACATAATGAGCACATGTACTTGTGTCTAGGATCCTAGGGGGCGGGAAGGGTAGAGAAAGGAATTCACAGTAACCAAGTCACATGGAGGCGATTCTTCAATGCACATGCATTCACTCTACCATGCGCAGGATGGAAGGAAAGGAGGGACAGAGAGAAGGAGGAAGGAAATAAGCTTTATGTTACATAATTTTTCCAACTGTAGGCTAATGTTAAGTGTTTTGAACATTTTCAAAGTAGCATGAGAGCCAGCAAGGTGGTATGGAGTGGTTGAGGCTCTGGATTCCCATGTGACTGACAGTGCTGACCCCAGTTCCCCATCAGCTTGCTTTCTCACTTTCTCTCTAGGTCTTTCTCTGGTGAGTGCCTATGGCAAATTTAATAATAATAATAATAAATAATAATTCTTTAAAATTTTTTTTGAATAGGTTTTTGCTATAGGGCACGTGTGCTTGTCAGAAAGATGGAGACAGAGAGAAAGTGAGAAATCACCTCCCCTAGGGGAGATGGCCATGCTGCAATCTCTTCTCCTCCATTCTACTCTTGGGATCTTGGGCATGCACACACATGTGCCCGGTTTGAGTTAAGTCACCGGGTCTGGGACTCAAACCGTGGTTGACTATATGGGAGTCCAGTGACATAGCCATTAAACCAACTGCTGGTCCCTAAAAACAATTTTTTTAAAATAAGGGACCAGTAGATGGTATAATGATTACGTTGCTAGACTCCCACAACCACGGTTCGAGTCCTGGGCCCAGTGGCTTAAAACTCATTCTGGGCGCATGTGCATGCATGCCCAGAATTCTGAGAGGAGAATGGAAGAGAAAGAATTGCACCATGGCCATCCCCACAGTGGGCAGTGGGAGGGTGGTGGGGGGGTTTGATTTCTTGCTTCTGTCTCTCTGTCTCTCTCTGTCTCTCCAGCAGAGATGCACCCTATAGTAAAAATCTCTTTAAAAAATAAATAAAACTTAAAAATTAAGTGGCTTGTGGTTAAAGCGGCTGGATCCCACTTTGACCTAACACACGGTTAAAATCTTGGTCCTGGCAGCTTGAAAACACACAGGTGCTTGTACGTGCTTGTCAAAAATCCTGACAAGTGGAAAAACAGAGAAGAGATTAAAGCATGACCATGCCCTTTTGGGGGCTGCTTGCTCCCTCTCCCTCTTCCTCTCTCTCTCTGGAGAGTGCACACACCCTCCGACAAATTACAAAAAAAAAGAATTTTAATAACATTTATGGGGGGGCAGGTAATATGGTGGTTAAGGTACTGGATCCCACATATCTGGCTGTGTGGTTCAAAAGATGTCAAGCTCATCTGTGTGCATGCCCAAAATTACAGGAGGAGAATGGAGAAGGGATTGCTGTGTGGCCACCCCCCCCCCAGGGGTTATTTCTCACTTTCTTCTTTTTTTTTAAGAATTATTTTTATGGTTGGGGTTGCTGAGGAGATGTCTGGACGTGTTGGTTTGGTGAGTGGCCTGCACTTCCAGAGGCTGCATGTCAGAAACCATGGCGGAGGGAGATAGTTGTGGCACCAACCTGCTGGCTGCAAAGACCGCAAGTCTGGAAGAGCAGCTGCAAGGATGGGGAGAAGTGGTGCTGATGGCCGGTAAAGTCCTCCGATGGGAAAGAGCTTGGTTTCCACCTGCCATCATGGGTGTGGTTTCTTCGATGTTTCTGATCTTCTATCTATTTCCATCTGTTCTGTTCTGTGTTTCCTGTTTTGTTATGTTTTTGTGCTTGGCTGACTACCTGGTTCCCATTCTAGCACCTAGAATTTTTGGCTCTAATAAATGGACCACAGAATAGCAGCAAAGATTCCATGAAGTCTGCAGCAATCTAGTAAAAACTTGACGCAAAGCTGTGGGCTGGTGGATATGTCTCTTTACACTAAAGGAAAAAAAACCTAAAACGTACTTCATGACCATGATTGCTTCTCTTGCTGCGGTGGCTTGGGTGGGATAGCAAGTCCACAACCTCCTTCTCACCTACCTGATAGAGACCAAGTTTATCCCATCTGATAAAGCGACCAGTGAAGATTCATTCCTCGTTTCTGTTTCTTGACCATGGGAGAATCCTCATGGAATAAAGTGAAACAAATTCCATGCCCTGGTATGTAGAATTTATTTCTCCCTTGTGTGGAATTTAACAATTCATAGTAAACATTGATTCTTTCTCCCAAATGGGGAATCTGATAGGCTTATAGAGCTCTTGCCTCCTTGGATTTAGACTTCAAATTAGTTCATCCTTACAGGCTTACAAAAGATTATATTTAGGATTTTTAGCATATTTTAAATTTCAGGTTCTCAGCTGACTTTAAAATACATAACAGGCTAAGACTTGTCCATGACCTTTACTTCAGCACGAGCCAGTAAAGGCCAAAAATCTTCCTGTGTTTAGTCAAGATTCATTTCAGTAGAAAATAAGCTTAGGGCCAGCCCCATGAACTTATCCTACTAATTTCTGAGACCAGAATAAGCCTTTAAACGTAAGCCTCACAATTGTCATTTTATGGCCATACTGGCTGTTTTGGTCCTCATACTTTGGGTATAGGAAATAGTGACTACACAGGTGTCTGACTTTTCCCCTAGATTTTTCTCCGAAAATTCCAAGGGCTGTTGGCGAGAGCAGATTTGTAGATGACAGTTGGGCTCTGATCTATGTCGATTTTGTAACCCTTTGGAAAGCTTATCATTCTTTCCCTCTCA